AGGTCATTCTGGGGATGGATTGGCTTTATCATTATTATGTCAACTTGGATTGTCGACTTAAGCGAGTGCAATTAACAAGTCTTGAGGGATTGGAGATTAGTGTGGTCAGCGAAAGAATCCATCCTTTAGCTAATGCGATATCATTAATGTCAGCTCAGAAGTTGATGCTGCAGGGATGTCAAGTGTACATTGTTAATGTAATCGATACAAGAGTTACAGAAAGTAAACTTGAAGATATTTCGACAGCCCGAGAATTTCCAGATGTGTTTCTAGATGATTTGTCTGGGTTACCTCCAGATAGGGAGGTTGAGTTTCAAATTGAAGTGATGTCAGGATCGGCACCCATTTTGATGACTCCTTACAGGATGGCTTCGAGATAGTTGAAAGAGTTAAAAACTCAGTTGCAGGAGCTTTTGGATAAAGGGTTTATTAGACCTAGTGTGTCACTGTGGGGAGCTCCAGTGTTTTTTGTTAAGAAAAAAGATGGTTCGATGCGCCTCTGTATATATTATCGTCAGATGAACAAGGTGACCATAAATAATAAGTATCATCTTCCAAGGATAGATGATTTATTTGATTAACTCAAAGGAGCAGCTGTATTTTCAAAGATCGATTTACACTCCGGGTATCATCAGTTGAAAATTCAAGAAAAAGATGTTCCTAAAACAGCCTTTAGGACTCAGTATGGTCATTATAAGTTTGTTGTAATGTCATTCGGGTTAACCAATACTCATGCAACGTTTATGGATCTGATGAATAGAGTTTTTCAACCGTACCTTGATCGGTTCATGGTCGTCTTTATTGATAATATTTTAGTCTATTCTAAGTCGACAGAGGAGCATGATGTCCATCTCCGTGTAGTTCTTCAAACGTTGCGAGATAAGAAGCTTTACGTAAAATTTTCCAAATATGAGTTTTGGTTATCAGAAGTGGCATTTTGGGTCATGTGGTTTCTGTTGAAGGAATTCAGGTAGACTCATAAAAAGTTAGAATTGTGTTAGAATGGGAGATTCCAAAAAATGTGTCAGAAGTTCAAGTTTCTTAGGTCTCGCAGGTTATTATCGGAGGTTTGTCAAAAACTTTTCGATGATATCTATGCATTTAACCAAATTATTGAGAAAGGAGGTACATTTTGAATGGTCTCCTGATTGTCAGAAGAGCTTTGAAGCATTGAAGAAAGTTCTGACAGAAGCTTCGGTGTTGGTGCAACCATAATCAAACAAGGATTTCACGATTTTCAGCGATGCTTCCCATAATGGTTTAGGTTGTGTCCTAATGCAAGATGGAAAAGTGGTTGCTTATGCTTCGAGACAGCTAAAGCCTCATGAAAAGAATTATCCAACGCATGATTTGGAATTAGCAACTGTGGTTTTTACATTGAAAATTTGGAGGTATTATTTGTATGGTGAACGTTGCTACATCTTCACTGACCATAATAGTTTGAAGTACTTGTTGACTCAAAAGGAGTTAAATTTGAGGTAAAAAAAGTGGATGTAATTACTGAAAGATTATGACGCGATCATTGATTACTACCTCGGGAAAGCCAACGTAGTAGCGGATGCTCTTAGTCGAAAGACTTTTACCGCTTTGCGTAGTTTGGACGCTCGAATGGTGTTAAAAGAAAATAGTGCATTGATGGCTGAGTTAAGGTTGAAACCATTGTTGTTAGATTGGATCAATGAGTTGCAGAAGAAAGACGATAAGTGTTTAGCTTTGTCTGATCGAGTAGAGAAAGACGGACTTGAGGATTTCAAGGTTAAGTCAAATGGGTGTTTATATTTCAAACATCGAGTGTGTATTCCTAATGATTGTGAGCTGAGACGAGATACTTTGTATGAAGCACATTGTAGTCCTTTAACAATGCCCCCAATAGGAAACAAGATGTATCAAGATTTTAAAGAGCGTTTTTGGTGGCCAGGCATGAAGAGAGACATTACGGAATTTGTAGCAAAGTGTTTAAATTGTCAGCAAGTAAAAGCTAAGCATCAGGTGCCTTCAAGTTTGTTGCAACCCATCTCAATTCCTCAGTGGAAATGGGAAAACATTACAATGGATTTCGTAACGGGTTTGCCTTTATCTCCGGGGAAGAAAGATTCGATTTGGGTAATTGTGGATCGTCTTACAAAGACTGCACATTTCATTCCGGTGCGAACCGACTTCTCTATGGATAAACTTGCGGAATTATATATCAAGGAGATAATGCGACTGTATGGTGTTCCAATCTCGTTAGTTTCTGATAGAGATCCCAGATTCACTTCGAGATTCTGGAAGTCTTTGCAAGGAGCTTTGGGTTCCTGATTGAATTTTAGAACTGCGTTCCATCCTCAAACTGATGGTCAATCAGAGTGAACAATTCAGGTTCTGGAAGATATGTTGAGGGCATATGTGATTGATTTTGTTGGATATTGGGAAAAATATTTGTCGCTTGTTGAATTTGCTTATAATAATAGTTACCAATCTAGCATAAAAATGGCACCGTATGAAGCATTATATGGAAGAAAGTGTAGACCGCCACTCAATTGGTATGAATTAAGGGATCGGGAAGTGCATAGTCTGGATTTGATCAAAGAAGTGGACGAAAAAGTTTAAGTGATTCAGCACAATTTGAAAGTTGCCTCAGACAGACAAAAGTCATACACCGACTTAAAAAGAAAAGAGATTGAATTTCAAGTAGGCGATAAGGTGTTTTTAAAAGTTTCACCTTGGTAGAAAGTGCTACGCTTTAGGCGTAAAGGAAAATTGAGTCCTAGGTTCATTGGACCTTTTGAAATTTTGGAGAAAGTCGGACCAGTGGCATATCAATTAGCGTTACCACCAGAGATGGAAAGGATCCACAATGTCTTCCATGTGTCTCTGCTTTGGCGGTATCGATCTGATCCTGCTCATATCATAACTCCATATGAAATTGAAGTTTAATCTGATTTGTCTTATGAGGAAGAACTTGGTCAGATTCTAGCTTTTGAAACCAAGCAGTTACGGAATAAGATGATATCATTAGTTAAAGTTCTGTTGAGAAATCATAAAGTAGAAGAAGCTACGTGGGAGCGTGAGGAGGATATGAGGAAGCAATATCCCCACCTTTTTGTGTAATGAAAATTCGAGGACGAATTTTCTTAAAGGGGAGAGATTTGTAACATCCCAAATATCGGGTCAATGACCAAATTGTAGGAATTTCTAAACTCAGTGTTTGAATTAGAATAAATCTGTAAACTCAAGGATTTTTAGTGGAATTTATGTGTAGGGTTAATAGAAATTTTGGTTTAATGAAGAGGGGAAAATGGTCTTTTGCTAGAGGGATTTTATCCCATTTTTAATGGAGATGTGCACGTGGGTTTGGGGAGAAAGCAAAGCAAAGTCTGGAAACATTCCCTTCTCTTTTCTTCTTCTACGTGAGACTATATTCAAGGTAGGAATGTAAATTTTTCAGTTTTACTTTAATATTTTGGTTGATAATGGAAGTTTGGTTAGTATATAACCTTAAGGAAAGCTTATATTGCATCAAATCAACAAAATGAGTGTTTTAGAGATGGATTTGTAAAATGGGTTTTTAGTTGAAACTTTGATATGGAGTAGTTTTTAGTTGAAACTTTGATATGGAGTAGTTTTTGAAGTATTAATGAGATATTTGTCTTGTCAATAGTCTAATTGAAGGGTTAGAAGTGTTAGAATTGATTAATATCATGTTTGAAAATTTGGTTGATTTTGAAGATTCAAGTGTTTAAATGAGAATTTGGGATGTTTGAGAGTTATAAATGTGCACAAGTTAGTTTGAATGTATAAAGGTGAGTTTATAAACTTAAAGTATATGTTTAGGAGAGTTTTGGGTGGATTTTCAAGTGATTTTCGGGGTGAAAATGGTCATTCTGGGCTTAGGGTATCGGTACCCTTATGAACAGGTACCGATACCTCATGGGTTTAATAGGAGTAATTGTAAGGGTTGTATCGATACTTGTTGAGAGTGGTATCGATACCTTGAGGGATGGGTATCGGTACCTTAAAGAGGGTATCGATACCCTTAAAACATCGAATGCAAAGTGTATATCGGTTCCTTGAGGAGGTATCGATACCCTTGCAACTTCGAATGCAAATTCGGTATCGGTATATGTGTAGGTATTGATACCCCCTGAAGGGTGGTATCGGTACATACGTAGGTACCGATACCCCTGAAGGGTGGTATCGGTACCCTTAGGGTGGTACCGATACCTCTAACCATGAAATAAAATACAGGGTTTCTTGTATATCAAGTTATTATGATTCGATATAAATTATTTGTCTAGTGATTGAACGTAATTGAATTCCAATCAGATTGTCATTTCGAATATCGGCTTGAAAGGATTTGGATTAGACTTTAGTGAGGCAAATGTGAGTGCAACTTTTTTTTTCGTAATAGAATTGAGGAAGGCTTGCGATAAGCCAACCTGAGTGTTTTCAATCGAAAACTTTATATTTATTTTATGTTCTATTAAATGTTTTATTCAATTTCCATTTTTACAAACTATGTCTTATGGCTATGTGTTATGAAAATATGAACCTTGAACATGTGAATATGAACTTCGAATTAGTGAATGTGAATATACTCTATGACAGAGAAGCTATGTGAATAAGAAACACTTTGAATAAGGATTGAACCTAATTATGTGATTAAAAGCCCAATGTATATATATGAGGATTAGAGGTATAGTTGGCATGCCAAGAGTCAAGGGTCTATGTGGTCCTTCGAGATAATTATGTGGTTATTCGAGACAAATATGTGGCATTTCGGTGCAAATTATGTAGTCATTCGGGACAATTATGTGGCACTTCGGTGCAAATTAGGAGTTGTGGTGACATCATTAGTGCACAACCTTATAGTACTCAAATTCCTAGATTTCTCAGTAGTATACCTTAGGCAATTGGAACAAAGACATATAAAGTATAATTATTCATAAGTATACATTTGATATGGAAATTAAGAAATCTCTTTGTAAAACAGTTTGAATGAAACAAATAAGATTTATATTAATAAATTAGCACTATTGTATTGCCTCACTATGTCATCGACTTAAAGTGTGTTTCTCAAGCGTAGGTTTGAAGAGAGCTGAAGATTGATTAAGGAGGATGATAGCGTATACTTCTGAAGATCAGATCAGAACAAGTTAAACGTAGGTTTTTGTTCATTTTGTAAACTGTGGGCATGTATTATACTTTTAACTTGAAATGCTCTGATCAGTTTTGTAAACTGTTATTTTTGGATATTTATGTAAATTATTAAGATTTTTGTAAACTATTGTGAATTTCATATGTTTTGAAAAGTCAAATGTGACACCTCGGATCCATATCTGAGTCAGGTACAGGTCAAGGGTGTTACAACCAAAGTAAATGAAAATAGGTCCTAAAACTGTAGATTGTATTTTCATAGGAAATGCAGAACATATCAATGCATATCTATTTCTTGTGTATGAATCAAATAATTATGAGATTCACAAGAACATGATAATGAAATCAAAGAATGCATCTTTATTTGAAAATGTTTTTCCTTACAAATCTAAGGAATTTGATCAAAGTTTAATAAAACGAACCTTAGAGACTAATAATAAGAATAGTCTAGATAATCAACAAGAGTCTGAAACTGAGATAGAACCAAAAAGGAGTAAACAGACAAGGGTTGGAAAATCCTTTGGACCAAACTTCTAAACCTTTATGTTGGAGGTTGAACCTCACACGTATAGTGAAGCTATACGATCCTCTGAAGGTACCTTATAGAAAGAAGCAATTAAGAGCAAAATAGATTCCATTATGTAGAACCATACGTGGGAATTAGTGGATCTTCCTCCAGATATTAAATCACTAAATTCTAAACGGATTTTCAAATAGAAAATAAAAGCAAATGGAACAATTGATAACTACAATGCTAGATTTGTAATAAGATGATACCGAAAAAAAGAAGGCCATGAATACTTTGATACATACTATCTTGTATCAAGAATAGCATCTATAAGAATGATACTCACAATTGCCGCTTTTTGAAATCTAGTAGTAAATCAAATGGATGTTAAAACTACTTTCCTGAATGGGGACCTTGATGAAGAAATTTACATGGGAAAACCTGAGGGTCATGTAGTTATAGGTCAAGAAAAAAAAGTCTGTAGGTTGGTGAAGTCTTTGATTGAACTTAAACAAGCATAAAAAATAATGGCATGAGAAGTTTGATAGTGTCATGATGACAACGACTTCAAGATAAATGAGTGTGATAAATGTTTATATGACAAAAATACAAATATATGATATGTAATTTTATGCTTATATGTTGATGACATACTCATTGTTGGGAGTAACAATGAAATGGTAAAATGTACCAAATTCCGTCAAATTCAAGATTTGACATGAAAGATATGGGATTGGCCGATACAATTCTAGGTATCCAAATTAAAAGGTCATCTGAAGGCCTTATTCTAACACAATCACACTATGTGGGCAAGATCCTTGAGAAATTTAACGAGGATGATTCTGGTATGGCTATAACTACAATAGAAGCATGTGTACATTTTTCTAAAAATCAAGGTGAAAGTGTTTAATAGGTGGAATATGCAAGGGTCATAGACAACTTAATGTATATCATGAGCTCTACGAGACCATACATCGCTTTTACTGTGAGCAATCTAAGCAGATACACGAGCAATCCAAGTGAAAATCACTGTAAAGGGATTAAAAGGATACTGAGATATCTTAGACATACTCGGGATTATGAGGTGCATTATTCTAGATATTCTACGGTCTTAGAAGAATACTTCGATGCTAATTGGATATCTGATATTCAGGATACGAAAGGCACAAGTGGATATGTATTCACTTTAGGAGGAGGAACCGTGTCTTGGAAATCCTCAGAACAAACAATTATAACTAGATCCACAATGGAATTTGAGCTTGTAGCTCTAAATAAATCGGGAGAAGAAGCAGAATGGTTTCGAAATTTTCTTGAGGATATTCCAAAATAGCTGAAACCTATGCCCACAGTATGTATATACTGTGAGAAACAATCAACAATTGCTAGAGCACATAATTTTATGTATAATGGTAAATCGAGACATATGCATCATCGATGCAATACCATTAGACATTGATCTCAAATGGAGTTATCTCTATTGATTATGTAAAATCAAAGGATAACATCACAGATCCGTTAACCAAAGGGTTAAATTGAGATCAAGTTGAGAAAACATCTAAAGGAATGAGACTAAAATCCATGAAATTTAAAGGTGTTATATGAAGGAAAACCCTACCTTGTTGACTGAAAATCCCAAGATCTAGGTTCAAATAGACAACCTAATTGCATAACCCATGTACGGTCACTGTGGGGATTTCTTATCCCCAAGTTTATTCCTATGATATAATCAGTGATCAAAGTGGTACAGGCTAAGCTTTTAACGACCATTATGTGTTGCGGTGAGCCGATTAACATAAGTCACCTATGTGATAGTGAAGTGGGACCGCTTGAAGAAGATTATGGAGCATAGTTTTTCAAACTCTTGCAGAACCAACCGATTCTCATAGCTTTAGGGACATACCCATGAGAACTAAATTCTTGTCAGAGGGGTAGTTGTGAGAAGCATGTCAGCGTTTACACAAATGGCAAAACAATTCAAGGACATTGTGTCTACTGTTTAACCAATAAAGTAAATATAATTTTGCAAGGAAAGGTTCAAATGAGGAAACCTACCTATCCTACGCAATTATCGGTCGTAGAGGCTATCACCACATCGAGTCAAAATATTTTGATTAAATTATCAATTCCATTCATGTGGGGGAATGATAGAAAATAGGGTTAATTACATTGATGAATTTAATATTTGTATTAAATTCAGAGCCATTTGTAAATTAAATAATATTTATTTAATTTGAAGGAGTGTATATCTGTTTGATATTTTAAATTTAAAAGATATTTTTTTTAAACTTAGATATTAAAATAGATTTAGATGGAGTAAAACTCTCTCGAAATTTCCCTATAAATATTGAGCAAACCTTTCAGTTTTTTACACATATTAGAATTCAAGAAGTTTTCTTCTCTTGAAAATATTTTCTCTCATTCTTAGAAATTATTCTTTTCTTCCTTAGTTTTTCCCGTGATAGTCAAAGGCAATGAAAGTTTGTGATATCTACTGTTGTGCTACTATTGTTGATCATCAAGTTGTTGTATCCTGAGAGACAGATCAAAAGATCTTGAGCACCAAGGAGTGGCCGAAAATCTGTCTTAAGGAAACTATGTAGCGATAAGCCTTAACTGATTCCGATCACAAGATCAAATATAAAGAGGATTTTATTTCTTTTTTATTCTCTTTTACTTATAAAGAATTTGATTCTTTCTTTTACTTTTTCTCAGGTTCCATTATTGTCTCGAATTATTACTCTCGCATAACACGAAATTCACAAGAAACATGCATTTGAATTTTGCATAATAATAACCAATATTTCAAATACGATGGATGTAGATGTAATAAAACATAAATGAATGTTAATTTTCTAACCATTTTAAAAATGACAAGTAGTATTATATAATTTAGAGTTTGGAAAATTAACAACAACATTTGGACGGTCATTGAATATATACTGCCACTTGGACAACCATCAAATTCAACACCACCATTCTAAATATTTTAGTGCAAAAGTTCAACTATTAATCATATCTCGGTGACGGTGCCAATTTTTAAAGACTGTTACTATTTTAAGGGTAAATTAGATTAAATTTTAAATTTTATATTAATATTATCATTAAACTTCAAATCAATTGTATTATATTATTAAATTTTAATTTGATTTTACTACATCATTAACATATTAACAATTGAATGTTACGTGGAAAGAAAAAAATACTTTTATTAGATAAAGTTCAAAAATAAAATATTAAAATATTTTAAAATAATATTTTTATGCATTAAACTTTTTAAAATATAAAATGAGCATTAAATTTAAATTTTATTATAAAATGAGAAACACATTGTTAGTTTTTGTTAGAAAAATAATGTAATATATTAAAATTAATAGGTAACATTAAATTTTAAACTTTATTATAAAACGAGAAACACGTTGCTGTTGTTAAAGAAATAATGTGACATATTAAAATGAATAAGTAATATCTCATTTGGCTCATCAACTATAACTAAAATTTTATTTTAATTATATTAATTTTAAATAATAATTCTAAAAAATAAAAATAAAAATACTTTTGAATTGAACCTTTTTCTTATTTTATCCCATCATCTATTTCATCGAAGTTTAGATTCTCGCCTATTTATGGCAATCATAAAAAATCACAAATCTTCTGTTTATATTATGGCCACTCTATACACTGATGAATTGGTATCATCCTCCCCTATCATTTTGTTTATTTAGATTCTTTCAATTTAATAAAAATGAAATTAAACACAAAAAATTTATCATTTTAGAATTTAGGGATCTTTTCAAATTTAAGGATTTCGAATGTTCGTTTGGAAATTGAATGGTGAAAAGCATTATTCTAAGAAGACGAATAACCTACCTTAAAACTAATCTCACTGGATTGTCATCAGAGGAGATCAGAATATAAATACATCAAACCTTTAAATAAACTTTAGTCAATATAAATGGTTTTCATGAAAAATCAATTCAACCACAGGAAAAAAAGAGTGAAATAAAAATGCTAATGTATAGATCTTGTCGGTGAAAGATAACCAATAATAGTATATGGTTGAACATCAATATCGATTGAAAATTTTAGAACCTAAAATTCAAAACTTTTAAGATTTAATGACAAAATTAATACACAAACTAAAGTTGAGTGGAAATAAATGCCCACATCATATTGTCGTTAACGATTTGATGGCATAACATTAGTGGTAAAGTTGATATAAGGTCTAAAGTTTAGTGGTATTCAAAGTAATTTACCCTTATTTTAATAATTTATATTTTATAATATTAATTAAGTACAGTTACTGTAATTTTCATGCGTCGGTTAAAATAATAAAATTAATTTGTGAGGAGGCGAATGTTGGAGTTTTTGGACCCTTTGTGGTCGTTAATTGAATTCCGGCTTCAGTTATAAATTGTTTTCAAAGGAAGGGTCAGAACCGTCATAGCACCCTAATCATGACTAAAATCTCGTAATCACTGCCGTAGATCTCGTAACTTGTTTCATCTCCAACCGTTCATTTCCTCGTAAACTAAGTTTTTCGCCAGAGATTCTTAAAGAATTTAAACAATAATAAAAATTGGTGTCAAAATCATCTCTGCTTGAATGGCGGATCCAACGGTAAAAGGGGCGTCCGTATGCAATCGGGTCGGATTGACGTTTGTTCGTGCTTTTAATTAACATCCGCGGGAAACAGTTTATAAATACGTGACAATAAGGCTGCATTTATGGTTTGATTCTTTTCTTCTTCTCGGTTTTAAAAAAAATCTACTTTTGATCGTTATCTTGCGTCTCTATTAGTGCAGCAATAGTTCATCCTATGACTTTCTTTCTTGTTTTATTATCTTGAAACCAAGGTTTCAAGCTTTTCCGGTTTGGTGAGTTATTATTCATTGCATATATTTGTACTCTTGTTTTGATTGAATTTGACTTGGAAATTATCACAAAGTTCTGGGTTTTGACTGGTACTGTTTGTCAGTGTTTTCTGAATTCTGGGTGCTTTTTTCTTTTCGTTTTTTAAGGTTGTTTAATTTTAAAGCTTTGGTTTTGGTATCTGTTTGGAGAACTGCAAATTATGTCTAGGCATGAATAAGAGAGTTTTTAGAGAATTCACACAAGTTTTACCCATTAGATTTTCATTATTTTATTGGGAATGGGATTTTATGTGGAAAGTATGATACGATTGAATGGTAATCTAGGTCAAAAGGGTAAATGAAGAAATCGGATCTAATTTGACTATTGACAAGTAAGTTTTCCCCCCTTTTCCCATTTTTGAACTTTAGAAGATAATACAATTGATTCCGCAACTAAACTTAGATGCCTAATGCGATCTTATTCTGTAGTATAATGGAAATCAATTAAAACAAACATTTAAAAAAAATCTAGTTTTGGTTTTGGCTTTTGATAAAGTTGATTCCAATTTAGGGTTTAGTCTAAAAAGATAGTACTATCTTTTATACTTCTTTTTAGACAAGGTTATCTGGATTCTTAACTCATAAGGAATGATGCTTGCTTTTTAATAGTATATGATGGAGTATGCATCCTTAAATTGAAGTGAACTGATAACTCATCATTTGTTTATTAAGACCATTTTTGGTTTCTTTTTGCTACTACTTTTAATCGGTTTAACTATATTTTTTTCAAGGTTGATTTTGATGAACTTTCACATAGTATTAATAATAGCAGTTATGTGAAGAACTTGGTGTCATGTAGATAATTGGTTGAGAATATATTTCTGGAGTATCGTAATTTGATGCTTGAAGCAGATCCTTCGATTTTCCAGGGTAATTGCAGTTGCTTTGAGTTGTTTCTGCATGCACGGAATATGGATATTGAGCTGCTTTTCAGCGTGAACAAAAATCTAATTGAAAATTATTTGTACAGGTGATGATCAAGCTTTTTTAATTGGAAGTATTACTTGAAGTTAATGGCTATGTATCAGCAAGATTCAGATTTCGTGCATTGGGTTCTTGGGGGTGACCCTTTTTACCATTGTGCATATAGCAGTGACATGATGCAGCATGATGCTGGAGGCATATATCATCACACTCACTATTATAGAGGTTATACTGATTCGCAAAGCAGCCAGATAGAGAATGATGAGGTAATCGCTCGTACCCTTCAGGAAGAATTCTCACATCTTGCGGTGGCAGAAGCTTCTGAATTTTCCCATGCTGAGGAACAGCCGTCACAATTGTCCAGTGAACCTCACGATTGGCATATTCCATTAACAGACTATTATTCAGGTGGCCAGAAATTTTCCCTGCCTATTTTTTCCATTTATGGTATTTATCTACTTATCGTTGATTAGTATTTATTTTGCCACAACGTACAGGCTATGAGTATGGCCATGATGAATCTGATGATTTGGTGCCACATAGTTCCTGCTCTAGCCCCAGTGATTCAGAGAAATTTTCTGGCTCTTTAGAGCTGACCGAGGGCTATTTGCTCGACGATGATGAAGCGGGCAAGAGGCTAAATCAGATGATTCCTATTCCTGTAAGTGTACCTTTAAAAGTGCCATTTTTCTCTGTTATTTACTTCTATGTCCACGCATGTGATGTTCTGTCTTGGAGTTAAAATTCTTCATAGATGTGTTAATGCATATGTCCCTGCATCTCTGCCATTTTCTTCAGATGTATTTAACCCTGTTTATTGCAGCATATCCCTAGAATCAATGGTGAAATACCATCAATTGATGAAGCAATGTCTGATCATGAAAGGTTGTTGAGCAGGTAATATTTTTTACTGTTTTTTTCATGAAAGGTGTTATTGGTTGGCATGTTAATTCGGTTTTATTGGCTGCTTAAGGCTAATGCTAGATATATTTCTTTTTCTATACAGATTGCAGCTATACGGTTTTGTTGAGCTGAAGGTTCAAGGAGATGGCAACTGTCAGGTGTGCTATTTTATTTTTGGTTTGAATTGTGTTTTTTAGATTATGATATTTATGGTTTTTTTTTTTGTTTTTGCTTTTCCAGTTCCGTGCTCTGGCGCATCAGTTATATCATACACCTGACAATCACAAAGATGTGAGACGACAGATTGTGAATCAGGTTTGTTGTCTCGGAATGAAATGCTGGCTTACACTCGAAATTAAATTTGTTTATTAAGGTATAATGACTATAGCTAACTAATTGAAGCTTGTTTTGCCAGCTTAAATCTAACCCAGAGACATATGAAGGATATGTCCCCATGGATTATGCTGACTATTTGAAGAAGATGTCCAAGTTTTTAAACTATCTTCTTTACTTGCTGTTAATATTTCTAGCTTTTGGGAAAAGAACAGCTATTGTTAACACTCATTATGAATGATTCCAGGAGTGGAGAGTGGGGTGATCATGTTACATTGCAGGCTGCAGCAGACGTGGTATGCATTAAGAATCTTGTGTTCCGACTACCCAATTAACCGTAATTTTATTTGCAATTGTCGATTTTTGTTTTGTTTATCGGTTCATTTCTTGCAATGGATATTCTCCTCATTCTTGACCTACAGGACTTGCCTGAATGTAGTTCTAAGGGCATTTTCATTCACTTTCTAAACAAGTAAAGAAATTGTGTGAATATCATGATACAATGTGTTTGCCCTTCCTAATTCCTTTTCTTTTGATTCTCTGACATGAACGTATCCATGCATTCTTCAATGTGTAATACTAGCAAACGTTTTACCTTTTTTGGCAGTATGGTCGGAAAATTTTTGTCATAACTTCCTTTAAGGACACTTGTTACATCGAGATTCTTCCGAACTTCCATACGTCGAAAGGCGGTAAGATTTCAGACCTTTGCTTCTTTTAGATTTTCCTTTTTGTCTTGTTGAATTTTGGAGATTTCTTGTTCCATCCGCATTTTTCATCTGATTGAATGTAATAATGCTTTCTGTTGTTATTTTCTTCAAAATGTATTGTTTCCTTTAGTTTGCAACTGCTTTTTGCAAAACCAAAATGATACTTGTACAAGTAATAACATCAATGAACGAACCCTGTTGTAATGCTAGCATGTTCTTATGTTATTGATGCAGTCATTTTCTTGAGTTTTTGGGCCGAAGTTCACTACAACTCGATCTTCTGTCAAGGAGGTGATCATATAACACTTTCCTCTTTCTTTTACTTGCACACATAATTACTTTAATTTTCGAGTAGAGTTGTTTGGTTTTTTATTTATACTCAATTGTAAATATTTTTAATGTTATGGTATTATTTGATTTCAATTTAAACGAGTTTCTATATACAATATACATATATATTTCATCATAATTTTTCATACACAATATATATGGCATGTAGAGTTGAGAGGCTCGACTCGGACTTGAAAATCAATCCATTAATTATTAAAAAATTTTGAGTTATTTAAGTTGCATTTTATAACTTGATTAGAATTTGAGTTTATAAAATTACGAGTCAAATCGAGTTGAGTTTTTTTAACGTTGATTTTTCTTTCCGAGTCCAGCAGTGCTCAGATAGTTTTTCATGCTGGTTGTACTTGGAAAGAGATTTTCATGTTCATTGTTGGGTTCAGAATAATTCCTTAAATATTGCTGAAGTCTGGTTGGTTGATGTTTGTAGATCCTCCCTCAGCCGAGGTTCCAAGGAAGAAAAAATGGTGGAATTTTGGAAACTAACACAGCAAAGATGAGCCAAGCTTCCATTAATTTCGTCTCTGACTTGCCTATATCATCATTGTTGTATTGTAAAGAGGGGGAAAACACAAACATTATGGCATAAAATTTTACTTTCCATGGCAGGCTCATGCATGACATAAATCCAAAGATCAAACAGCTGTTACCAATACTTTGTTCTTTATTGATTCATTTTCAGTCTCCAGTTTCTGTACAAGAAGAAAAAAGATCTCAGAGTCTCATGGATTTTATCAATGGTGGGTTCATTTTCAGCATTTTATTTAGAACGAAGAAGGAAACCATTGAAAATACTAGTCGATAATACATTATATAGATGCCATGTCGCTAATGTCTTTACTTTGAGATCTCTACTCTTGATTCCTACTCTCTTCTTCTTCCTCTTCTCCCGCCTCCTGCTGCTGCTGCTCTTCCTCCACCGCCGCTGCCGGCTGAAACAGTAATGCAGTAAACGGCATTTGTTGATACGCATTCTTTCCAATAGTTGAATATCTGAAATCCCACTGGTTGGAACAAGTCCAATCGGTAACTCTGTGGTTGCGCTGTCAAGGCAAACATTCCCGACAACACGCCGCTCTTCTCCCGCCTCCTGCTGCTGCTGCTCTTCCTCCACCGCCGCTGCCGGCTGAAACAGTAATGCAGTAAACGGCATTTGTTGATACGCATTCTTTCCAATAGTTGAATACTGAAATCCCACTGGTTGGAACAAGTCCAATCGGTAACTCTGTGGTTGCGCTGTCAAGGCAAACATTCCCGACAACACGCCGCTACCAACCCCACCCGGGTGCAGTTGACAATATTCGGAAGGCGAAGAAGCGGTAATGGGTCCAGATGCACAAGAGATTTCATGAGATGCAGGAGTGGTGCCTGACCCGGTGGCAGCAATGATAGAAGGCTCGCCTTGACGAAGCAACCACTCGATGGTTTCACCATCGGAGCGATGGCCGAGTTCTCGAGTCAGTTGAAAGATCCGAGCCGCAACAAGCGCCGGCATCCGAACACGACGGCCACGGCCATTCACTTTGGTGTGACGATCTTTAGAACTGAAAGCAATGAGCTTCCTGGTAGGGAGAGAAAGTTGGGTATTGGGAGTTGAATGTTCGGCGACTACCGAGTTACCGTTCGAGTTGTTCCGGTCAGAGGTGGCGGAATATTCGTGAAACGCCATCTTAGGAGTCATCGGAGAGCGTTAGGTTTTGAGGCGACCCCACATAGAGAAAGGGCAGACTCTTTAAACGAGCGATGGGAGGGAGGGATTTGTTTTTACGTCAGAGATTCAACCGACGTGTCGAGCTAGGGTTTCCCTGCGTTCGTCAGGTGGGTCGGATAGTGGGGTCCACTCACCAGATATTGCTTGAGTGGATCCCACTTTCAGTACTGATATGGATTTATAGGAGTATCTTGCCAAAAATTTTGCTTCACTCACACCTTTACTATTCTTCTGAAAGATTTTTATTTGGTATTTTAAATAATATTTCATTCTTGAATTTGATATATTTTACCAGCATCTTTAATTTTTTTATATGATAAAATTAGTATGTCTTTCATATGGTATATTTTATCATCCCCTTTTAGCTTTGTACCAAAAAAAAAAAAAACTAAAGTCGTGCCATGAGAAAACGTAAGGTGTTAATATATATTATAGAAAGTTTTGTTGAAATAATATTAACTTAATTAATGTAATTTATATCAATGGTAATTTCTTTTCTTAGGGTAAACTACACGAGTGACCACTAAACTATAATAAAAAATCATTTCGATCACCGATGTCTCAATTTGATTAAAAAGAACACCAAACTTTTTAGATGGCTCATTCAAGCCACTCTCCTCTAATTTTTAACAGAGATGGCGACCTGTCTGTTACTAAAAATGGCGTAATTATATGTTTGATTATTAATACTTACACATTCTATAAGTTTAGTCCTAATTTTAATTTAATTTAAAATAATTAATCTTCCAATCCGGAGATGTCCCATGTCAATATATTATTGTGACGTATTCCAAGTTAGATGTGTCACCATATGATTGAAGAATTACTTTTTAATTAATTTTAATTTAACAATTTTATTCACCAACCAGGTGGTGACACGTGTCACGAAATGTGTGTAAAGGAAAACAACAACAACAAAACCCTATTTCCATGTGTAATGAGATAAGGGGAGATAGGGTAGTAGGCTGCCCCCAACGCCAGGGTTGAGAGCAGCTTCCGTGGAAGACCTTCGACATTCAGCAAATTAAAGATAAAGATAAAATACAATGCATGTATAAATAAATAAATAAATACATAGTTGAACAATCTTCATATGCAATCCTCATATGCACGTCTGTAATGGGAAGTAATCCCTGTAAATAAATCCCCGCATTAAAATATCTGCATATAGACAGAAACGTAAGACCCGACTAAATTTAAAAAGAGGGAACCTGAAGAGAATGATACACAATAGTCAACGGTAGCAAGCTACGAGAAGGAATAAAGTCTAATGGGTTAAAAACCTAAACTAAGGCTACACTACTCCACTACCCTAGTTCTAAGACTTTATAAATTCTAATGTGTAAAGGAAAACAAATTGTGAAAATGCTGCTACCAGGAAGTTTCAAACCAAAGACCTTTAGTGCACCTAAACCGGGCTAACCACTCCATATATAATTATATTGCAAACTTTTATATATATTGTTCTTTTTTTTATTCCACACGTACACATATATTAAATTATTGAAAAAAATCTAATAAATAAATTATATTTTTCACACACATATTTAATTATAGGTAATATAAGATTTATAAATAAAAATAAGTTTAGTATATTTATATTTTTAAATTAAATTAATTTTTTCTTTTTCACAATTATTTTTAAATGATTATAAATATAAAGCAAATTAGAAGTGATTTTTTTAAAAAAATTGAAAAAAGTAGTTAAGATTCATATTATATTTTTTTTTATGATTTAAGTTGTTTTTTTAACTTTGGATTCTCTAATGAATTGTGAATATAACTCATATATAATTATTTAAAAATAATGAATAAATTAATCTAATTTAAAAATATAAAAATATTAAAATCATTTTTATTTATAAATCTTGTATTACTTATAATTATATATATTTGTGAAAATATAATTTATTTATTAGATTTGTTTCAATAATTTAATATATGTGTTTGTGTGAAATAATAAAAAAACACAATATATATAAGAGTTTCCAATATAATTACATATGGGGTAGTTAGCCTAGTGGTTAAATAATTAAAAATAATTCTCCAATTATATAGTGACACGTGTCAAAATAATATGTTGATGTGTTGTAACATCCTCAATGTTGAGTTAGTGACTTGAAAAGTTCAGGGACTTATATTATAAATTTTGTATAGGATTAAATATCAAAGAAGGAGAAATGGAAGGGTAAAATGGTCATTTGACCTAAAAATTAATTAAAAAAATGAATATGGAGGATATATTTATACATGTGGGAAATGAGGGTTAAAGGAGAAAGTCTCTAGAAAACTCTTCTTTCTCTTCACCGTGGAACCCCAAAGGTAAAGGTGAGTTTCCATGTTTGTTGGTTAAGTGTTGAATTCAAGTTTAGTTTATGATCCTTAGGTGATACTTAAGCTTAAGGAAAGTTTAAGTTGTCTTAAAACCATAAGATGAAAGAGTTGGGAGAGATTAAAGACAACGAGTTTAAAAATGAAATTATAGGAAAGAGTTGATAAGTGGATTTTTGAAACTAAATTTGACTTGTCAATGATTTAATTAAGAGATATGAAGTGATAGAAATAAATTTAGAACAAGTAGAAATTTTGGTATGATTTTTGAATTTCATGTAGAGGATAGGATTTTGAGATTAAATGTAACACCCCCAACCCGTATCCGACCCGGATACGAGTCCGAAGTGTCACATTGACTTTTCAAACATTTATTCGTATAAAATAGTGAGTAATTTAAAAACTTTGATAACATTTAACTTATTCAAAATGTTTACAAAATATATCAGAGTTCATACAATTTATATCTTTAAACTACATGCCAACTACACTCTATATACAGTACCTATATTTTCTGATCTGACATTTGGTAAGGAAAACTGACATGTCTTGCTCCGCATTACTCTTTACTCTTCTCGAAACCTACGTGTGAAACAATCACACGCTAAGTCGAAGACTTAGTGAAGTATAACAACTTATAATGCACTTTATAACATATATCAATACATGCATGTTCTGTTCTATCATGTTATACCAATTCCATGCATTCTTCGTATCATATAAAATCATATCAGATTAATTACAGTAAATACATACATACACATAATTCATCATTAACAGTTTATCATGTATCACAACTTTTATGGTTAACTTTTCAATCAAACACTATACACACACAACATCATATCATTTCTATAACATTTCTCATACCACTAACATATTTGTTCATATCTGGATTAGCCCATGTATATATGTGAGAACTATCGATATGTGAGTCTATAGAGGTTGTGCACTAATGCTGTCACCACAGCTCGTATAATTGCACCGAAGTGCCGCGTAGAATTGCACTGTAGTGCCATATAATAATGTCCATAAGGACCACATATTATTCCTTAAGAATCATATACATATACTAGGGATCAAGTATGTGTCTTTCAAGACTTCACACATGTTCCATAGAATATATATATCCCGAAGGACCGCGTAGAATTACACCGTAGGCCATATAATAATGTCCATAAGGACCACATATTATTCCTTAAGAATCATATACATATACTAGGGATCAAGTATGTGTCTTTCAAGACTTCACACATGTTCCAAAGAATATACATATGTCCCGAAGGACCGCGTAACCCTCGACTCTTGGCATGCCAACTATACCCTAGCTCTCATGACACATAACATGGGCGTTATTATTTATTTCATTTCAAATATTCACATAAACTTGTAATTCACGTATCACATATCACGTATCACATAGCTTCTTTTCATATTATCACATAGTCACATAGTTCACTTACACGTAGATCATTTCCATATAATTCACATGTCACATATATCTTTTTCATATAATTTCTATCATTTCTCACCCAATCACATTTATTCATGTAAACATACTTATCATATCTTGTTTACATAAGATCATATACTTCATATAACATATAGAAACACCTAGAACACTTTCACGTATCTTATATCAATTTTCAGAGTCCTTTCATATTACCTGATGGCATATATCATATATATATAATAACAGATATCATATTATCTACCTTATGCTCCATTTCTTTGTATTCCCTTTTTCATATCAGCATACATTTAAATATTCTTATATGCCCTATCAATATCCTATAAACTTACTCATATTCTCATATATCATATTTTAATATAATTTGTATAGTAATACTCTATAATTGTATCATATAATGATTTTACCCAAGTATTCCTTTATAAAGTTTATATTACATGTTCAATTAGTCTCATGCTATCTTATAAATAATTTCCATTTATTTTATATCATTTTCCTTTTCCACTTACATAAACCATTTATTTATTTAGTTCAATTTCTCATGACTTCCACAATACTTCTTTAATAAAACTTTGTAGCTCTTCACTATAATACATACACCATAGTTTCCTTTAATTTATCAATCTTCCTTATATTACTTATGTCCTTATTTATGCCTTCAAATTCATACTATTCTCTTAGAGTCTTCTAACATTTCTCGTATAATCACTTATACCATATCATATAACTTATACTTGATTATCTTATTCTCTCATGTTCATTTCATTTCTTATGACTCTATCATATAACTTATTTACTGTTCTTCCGTTATTACATATTAAAGTCTTACATACATCATATAGCATATACCAAGCATATCATTATTTTTAGTCATGCATACATACAATCAATGTAATACAGATAATCACATATAATTATAACCACACATAATCATGTCCATGACTTCATGCATATTACTCTAGGAAATAGACTCATCGCAAGTCTTATTTCCATTAAACACTACATATCACTAGTATGCACTCACATTGGCCTCACTAGTCAATTTCAATCTCTTATCTTTCCCTTGATCGATCTTACTTGCCAAATGTTCCGGAATTGCTTTACGCGCAAAATCTACATAAATGCACATTTTGAGGCAATCATTAGATACCTACACCTTGTAATTAGATACTAGCAACTTAAACGAACTAATTAAACCAATATTCACATTTTTCCTTTAGGGGGAATCGGTTCCCTCCTGTGGGGGTATCGGTTCCCCTCTGGCATTCTGGAATTCCATGTTCGTTTGAAGGGGTATCGGTTCCCCTTGAATGGGTACCGATTCCCCTTGCCCAGAAATCATATTTTTAACTCGAAAATTACTTCATTTCCTCTCAAACACTTCATATATCATCCCTTTTTTCATTCTTAACTCTAGTACACATACTTAAACCAATCTATATTCAT